CTCATCCCTCACCCTCAAAGTTTCAACCTTTGTCAAACCTAAACAACCCCCTCCCTTTCACATCCCCCATAATCATCAAATTCGATTGTCCCGCCAATTTCGTGCCTACATCACCGTCAGAGATGGTGCTGATGATGGTGGTGGTGGTGATGGCGATGGAAATGAGCAACCAGTGGTGGGCGAGGACTCAGCTGAGTTCATTTTGTCAAAGCAGAAGATATCTTCGTGGGTTTACTTCACTGCAATTCTGGGTTCGGTTCTTTTTATACTCAATGTGGCTTGGATCGATAATTCCACCGGGTTTGGGAAGCCCTTCGTCGATGCGGTCTCGGAGCTTTCTGATAGCAAAGAGGTTAGTGTGTTTGTTTCCCAATCTCATGGTGCTAATTTAATTGACATGAACTTTATTGTTAGAAATTGGTGTCAGCTTGTTTGTATGTTGAGAAAATTAATTGCAGCTATCTATAACATCATAATCATAATGGGTTTTTACTAAGTGAGTGTTATTGGGAAATCAGAAAAGCTTACTCTTGGATTGAATTTTTTTTAGTACACTAAATTTTAGTGTGTTTTAGTCTTTATATTAGAACAATCTCCATGGTAGATGTGAGCAGGGATGATACAGAATTCTTAGACTACAACTTTTGAACCTTAGATTTGAACCATAGAGTGGAAGTGAGGAGAAGAGGGTGTGTAATGAGGATGTGGATGTGGATGGAAAAAGTTACGAATGTTTAGTTGGAATCGTGATAAAAGGTCTGTTGTGTAAACCTTAAATGTTGAATTCGGATTAGGGAAACGGTTCCTGGGCTATGGTGTGAATTATGTTGCCTATAATGACAAGGATAATGTGGGTGACGATGTCCATACAGAGCAGTTGTATGGTAATCTGGTTTAAAACTTGTTTCCTGGAAATAGGATAGAATATTCATTTGGTTGAATTTTGTAACAAGAGCGTGCAAATTCCATTCTGGTTTCCTGGTGCGTGCAAATGCCTCCCTTTTTATGATTATTTGCTCTATTGAGCTGTAAGATGTGATAACGGTTTTAGTTACAAAGTCTGAGGTTTGCAATGGTATTCTGCAGGTTGTGATGTTGATCCTAATTCTAATATTTGCCATTTTCCATAGTGGCTTGGCTAGTCTACGAGACACTGGTGAGAAACTTATTGGAGAACGTGCTTACCGTGTTTTGTTTGCGGGGACATCTTTACCGCTGGCTGTTAGTACTGTTGTGAGTTCATTACTCTCAATAAGGAGGACTATCCTTTTTTTATATCTAACTTCAATCCTTGCCACTTTTTCTGTTTTGAATTCTTTTGTCGTTGGTGTGGAGGGAATTGACTTCGAAGGGTTTGTGGTTCAGGTGTATTTTATCAATCACAGATACGATGGAGTACAGTTATGGGAGCTCAAGAATGCATTTGGCGTCCATGAATTTGTATGGCTCTCTAATTTTATCTCGTTCTTGTTCCTCTATCCGTCCACTTTCAATCTACTAGAGGTAGCAGCTGTTGACAAGCCCAAAATGCATCTTTGGGAAACTGGGATTATGAGAATCACCAGGCATCCACAGGTAACTAATTCATAGTGTTGTTATGAATGATCATCTATACATTTTCAAGTCATTGACTTATCATTTTGGGCCTTGGGATGAATGCGGGTGTGTGTTCTGATCATCTAGTTGGCCAGAATTAACCTTAAATCTTCTTATACCATCAATTATACAAATTATTATATTACCAACATGTTAAAGTTTGGGTTTGTCTCACTCACTCACTCATTTACTAAGACAATTTGGGAATGGATGTGTTTTTTCAGCTGGTCGGGCAGGTGATATGGTGCCTGGCTCACACGATTTGGATAGGGAACTCAGTGGCAGTGGCAGCTTCTGTTGGTCTAATCGGGCACCACCTATTTGGTGCTTGGAATGGTGACAGGAGATTGGCGGTGCGACATGGCGAGGCCTTTGAAGTTGTGAAGAGGCGAACAAGTATCGTACCATTTGCAGCCATTCTTGATGGCCGGCAAAAGTTGCCGAAAGATTACTACAAGGAATTTATTCGGTTGCCATATCTCTCTATCACTGCATTGACCTTAGGTGCATACTTTGCGCACCCCCTTATGCAGGCAGCCAGTTTTCGGCTCCATTGGTAGGAATAAGATACATACGATTCGTACTGGATAATGAACGTGAAGCTCGAAACTGTATATAAATTGTGTATGAGAGACAAGTTAGGTTCCTCAAGATGCTAAAAGTTCATCATAGGCATAGCCATAAGCATGTTGTATGAAACTCCGAAGAAATGCAGGTATAGAACCTACACACACGCAGCAGCAATATCAATGATCAAGTTAACCAATCTCCCAACTGATGTACTTTCTTTCACTAGGCTCTTTTATTAACCTCAGGAGTTTTGTTTAACATAACCCGGGTAAAATTAGGTGAAGGTTAATTATACCACCTGAGATTTATCAATTTTTCAAATAAACCATGAAGTTTTAACATGATTTCCTAAAACCTGTTAAACAAATATGACACAATCTCTTAAAATACCAAAATAACCTGAAAAAGTTAAATACTATTCAACTGTCCTTACATATAAACAAAAGACACATTGTTTGAAATATTTAAGTAATCCAAAATATTTTTCTCTTGTCTGAAAATATTACTAAATCAAAGGAAGGGTTTTTTTTCCTTCTGCAAAACATCATAATCAAATAAATGATTTATTTTTATTTTTTAGACAATCAAATAAATTGATTTAGAGCACTTCCACTTATGGTGTCATGGCAAAGGACAAGGACAAGGAAGGGCAGTCACTATTCATATGAATAGTGACTACCCTACCCTTTTTTATTTTGCTTTTCAACTCATTGTCATGGCAAGTAAAGGCAAACACTATTCACATGAGATATGAGGAGATGAATTTGTATAGAGTTTTGGTGTGGGAAGTGTGACATGGCAAGGTATTTTTATAAGAAAAAAAAGAATGAATTTTTTGGTTTTTTTTTTTTTTTTTTTTTTTTTTA